GAAGATCCGCTGGGGGGGTTTCGATTTTTCTGGTATTGCACTTTACACTGCACCTGGTGGATAAGCAACGCCAGCTCCCAGCGTTGGGTACCCTTCATTTCTTACTTTCCTTCTAGGTCACATTTCCACATGTCCCAGCTCCCGAATCCTTGGGTAGCCTCCATTTCTTAGCCAGAAGGCATTGTAGATTCTCGGCTTTTTGGTGCTATCCGACTGACGTGGCCCCTACATTCCTTGTCCAACCATTTCTTGTACAGTGATTGAGCTAGGTGAATCCAGCGGCACCGTTTGAATGGGCCGAGTTCCAAGCACCCAAGGCCTCACAGAGTTCCTGTCGATGCTTCCGGGCCCCAGATCCATTACGCATCATTGCGCATCAGCTGAATCTTGAGAGTCTGTCCTGACCCACCTCTGCTTTTTACCGTATGCGAAGAGGGTTCCAGGATATCCAGGATGCAGGTGCAGGTTAGAGTCGCCAGAGACTTCTGTGCGGAAACAGAGCTCCAAGAAGCCTCTGACTAGCCCAGCAAAAGCGAAGCTTCTCTATCCGCTTCAGGACGACCTTGGGTGGATCAAGCCCGTGCTGAAAGCGGACCTGGCTGCTTTTCAGCAGTGGGAACCTTGCGGACCCTTGAGAAGTTTGCGCTGCCAGACGTGTCAGCTCAGCTGAGGCGACAGCCCCCGTCTGCCTCTTCCCGCTGTCGCAGCACATTGCGAGATCTCCGGGTCCCAGTGCCCCGTGCAGACTCAGCTTTAGGGTCCTCCACTGGCAAGACCCAGACGCCACCCAAACCGTGCAGAAGCCAAGTATGCCCAAGAAGAGCATGCTTCCACCAATCCCTCGGCCTCGCCGAGCCAAAGCAGCAGAAGGTTTCCACATGCGAAGCTCTCGACCCCCAGCCTTTGAAATCCGGGCTTTGGCAGGTACGCCCAGGCAGAGCCCCAAGGGCGAATGGAGCCTCTTCGAGGACCGGCGGAACAAACCAGGCCCGGCTGAGTTTGAGCATGGAAAGATGCAGAGCTCGGATCGGTGATGCGGATGTACACATTGTAGCCGGTGCCTGGGAAGTCTGAAGAGAGGCAGCAAGAGAGCAAGTGGGGATCCAGCACCTCCTGACCCGGTGCTGTTCTCCAAACCTGCGCGCACCGCTAAGCCCATCTCCAGCAAGCTCCCGTTCAGAGCGCAGCAGGATAACTCACTTCCGCGCCAGGCTGGATTTCCAACACGACGGACGGCGAGGAACTCGTGTTCGATCTCAAGTTCAGCAGCAAGCCAATGTGCCCTGCCACGAGAATTAGTTGAGTCCTGCTGCGCAAAGCACGGGTCCTCGTGGGATTGCACAAGGGCGTGGGTTTACGGGTTCTGTCCTCGGTGCATGCTACTGGGCTCCAAGACGACTCGAGCCTGTTGCCGTCACACACGACGCGATTGCAAGTTTGGGGCAGTTGGCATAAGCTATGTCGCTGGCGAACCTCGACTGGTGGCAGTTCGTACTGCGCTCAGACTTCTAGCTGAGGGGCCCCGAATTGAGGGTACGTAGTCCACTTAGCCGGGTTCGTGCTTCGTTCCGGTTTCATTCGCTCCGCTGTCGGCAGAGGCAACAGACCTGGTTTTCGCTGCTCTCTTGACTATGGTGAAGACGAGGGAGAGAGAGAGAGAGAGAGAGAGAGAGATAGCGAGGGAGGCAACTTCCCACCACAGCCATGGGGAAAGAAAGAGAGAGAGAGACAGAGAGAAAGTCATGCCGCAGTGTTGACAAGATATCATACCAAACATGAACCACCAACGACGTCAGTGTCCCACAACTTTCCACGTCCCCTCAAAGCCCCATAACATATGGGGGGCCACTAGGCCGGGGGACCTCAACAGTCCCCCATGCCCAATGAAAAAGAAAGAGAGCGGTTACTTCATACCAAATATGAACCACCAGCGACATCAATGTCCCACAACTTTTCACGTCCCCACAAAAGCCCCGTAACCACTAGGCCGAGGGACCTCAACAGTCCCCCATGCCCAATGAAAGAAAAGAAAGAGAGGGGTTACCTGTGGCATCCTAGGATAATGATCCAGTACCTCCGCTCGTACACGAACATCGGCGAGGCGGAGGTGACCGTGCAAAGCCCATGGATCTGGAGGTCCACGATGTTCAAGAACCTCCGAGGCCAGATTCGAGCCCGGGCTACGACGAGCTTTCTGAATAGCTGGCACGTGTTGGGCCGAAAGATGGTGGGCCGATGCCTAATTAGTCCCTGCCCCCACAGCCATGCCCCTTTACACTGCCGCAGGATACAAATGGCGAGTCTTGGCAAGCAAGCTGATGGACACTGCAACCAATATGGTCGGCTGAGTGTTTCCTGTGAGTGTTACAACGCCCAAAGCCGGATAGGAATTGCATATCAAATTGGCATTCACTTCTTGCTGACAAGATAATACAAGATATTTGGCCGCCAGATTCAAGACTTCGGTAGACTTTTAGGTCTTCCTTGTCGTCAGTTCGGCAAATCCGTTCCGACAGAGAATCCCTTGCTTCCAGACTGTATTCCTTTGTAGTCTTGCGGCCATCATTCAGGCATGCTTGCGCGCTGGCCAACGAAAATATCTGTCACACAGAGACTTGGCCACTATCTCCAGCGAAGATGTGCCAGGTGCTGTTGACGGTCTGGGGCTAAACGGCTGGAAGAAGACTCTACGAGCCTACATGTTCGGCACGGTCGTGTTGTATGCAGTCTGGCTTCCAACCCAGGGCAGCACTGGAGTTGTTGTGGTTCCTGATCTACAGAGGCTGCTTTCTTTGAAGTCTCCATGTTGCAAACTTCGTGGACAGACTTGTCTGAACAAAGGGACAGGAGTTGAGTCCGCCAGTCTCGGTATTGATGCCCAGAGCTCTGAGCCGATTCGCTCCGGAGTCACTGAAGTAGTAGAAGTAGTAGAAGAACCCATCTAAGGAATGCCTTCTTCAAGGCAGTGACGCCCACAAGCCAGCTTGAAGGACGCAAGGACAGAGTCTCGATTCAGTGATTGGCGCTTGCCCCGTAGGTGGCTGAGCAAGAAATGCTAGTGTCGTGCTTGGGTTGCATCCGGATTATAGTCTCTAGCTCGTGACAGGTGTGGAAGGAATCGTCAGGTTCTGATGCATTACTGCGTTACCCTCACTGGTCTGTGTCGTGGATATGATCTCAGGCCTTGAGCTAAGTCAGTATGCTTACGGGGCTTCTCGTCTCTTACGACCCTTTTCACTCCAACTTCGTAAGCTCTCGAAGCAGAGCCCTGGCAAAATAATATAGGGTTAGCAAGAAAATCCAAGGTGCGACGATTTCATTCCGACTGGCCGCCTGATGGCAATACAGTGACAGCCGATGTAGCCTTTGCCCAGAAGGTTCGTGTCGAGTTCCTCGAGTTTTCATAGATGCGTTGGGAGGGTTGGAGTGAGGGCTATTGGGCAGCGCCGAAGGCTGGGGAGATGCGCGTACCCGACTTTGCAGGGGCTCATCAAGGGCATTTGTATGCTTACGTAAGCTGCAACGCTATAGCATTCCCGCGCTTGTCCCCATCTTTGGGCATCCGAGGCGCGGGGGCCAAAGTTCAAGCTCCTTTCAGTGATCTCATGCTGACGAGACCTGTGGGCGAGCCCGGAAAAGACTTCTGCCCTTTGAGCTCAGAGTGTCGCTGCAAGAGCCTGCCTCGTATCCGGCCGACAACTTCCCCACATGTCCGTGCTGTCCTTTCCGTAAATATCGTAAATGTGTAAAGTTTGTCTTCCAGTTTCTTCCCTGCCAGGTCTCAAAACCCGGAGAGGCACGCATCATGTGATTTACTTGGTTGCAGTTTCTGCATGTTTCTGCCGCTACTCCGGCTGGTGGCCCTTCACAGCCGTGTCCGAAGTGACTTCCCCGCTTTGCCATTCATGCACTCTGCTTCAACGAGAGCCAGGTCTTTCGCTTCTGACAGAAGTCCTGGAAGTTCTGGTTTGTTCCGTGGTTTTTTCGGGGGTGCAGGTTTCAAGTTTCTACCGCCTCTGGGAAAACAGCGCCATGTTGCGGGGACCGTGTCGGAAAAGTCGATGCGCCGCGGACCCAGGCATATCTTGAATTCCACTGAAGGCTCCGTAAGTTCTAGAAACCATGATCGACAGTGAACTGAAAGTAGCCGCCTGAGCTCATCCCACTTCCCTACTCAAGCAGCACAGTCCCCGAAAAGTCGTTGCTGCCAGATCAACACTCCGACCAAGCAGATCTGGGATGCAGTGACAGAACATGATGTTACTTATGCATGTAGATATGCATGGCATGCACATGTTTTGATAGTCTGTACAACTTGTACCATGTACCATGTTGCGATGCACAGCGCATGAGTGGCAATCATGCAGGGTGGAACGACAAGAGGACGCTTACGGAACTAACGACGATCCGACGATTCGCTGCATCAACAATAATATCAATCGCAACCCTGATTGCAAAGTCCTCCTGTGACACCAAACCTTCGATGCTTGAGCCCAATCCCTTGAACCTCATCCTTTCTGACTCAGGTCGTTTGGTTTGCGCTTGTGCTCTGCTTGTGCCTGGCACCGCAGGGACGTAGCAGACTCAGTCACGGGCTAACGGATTCGTACTTCTGACTTTCCGAACTATTGGGTCGGTTCTACGAGTGTCATTCTGCCACAGGCACCACGGTGGTGACCATCTTGTGTTTCGGGACAGAACTCTAAATTGGCTGAATCTTCGTAGAAGAATTGCTTCGATGAGTCATTTCGCATCCGACTTTGATATCACTCAGTTTTTCTAAGAGCCTCAGCTCGAGACTTAGTGAGCGACTTGTTTCTGGTACATTTTTATATTTCTCTTAATCCATCTCATTCTCTTTTTGGTGGATACTAGTATTGTAGTATTCTTGCCAGCATCGCTGTCCCTTTCTCCTCTGAAAACCTTGATGGTCATAGATGATGATTCTATTCTTAGTGGTATGGAACTAGCCTGTTAGCAGCAGAAGAGTCGAAAGCCAGATGTGGCCCTCACCCGAACAACTCGGCATTTGTTCAGGTCAATCATCTACTTTCATCCCAGCGCCACGTCAGGGTGAACCTGACTTGAGGTGGGTTCCGGTGCCCCGCACATGAGGAATCTCTCCACAGGGTATAATGCACAGGAAGTCGTGAAGGGATCAGATGTATGAACAGACTATGGTGATCAAGGTCTGCCATGTGCAGGTCGCTATGTGGCACGCCCATCAAAGTCCGGGCGCAATGTATCTTCGTGCCTTGCACGGCAGGCCAGAGCTTGGACTTCGCATGGATGCGCATTTTCCATCGTTGCATCCATCTGCATCTTGTAATCATGCCCCGGGTATTCCCGGTTATCGCGTGTGCTGTTCTACATGACCCTTGTGTTCAGTGTGACATTGTCGAGACCTGAAGGAGGGAGGTGGGCATATCAAAATCTCGGCTGCTCACAGGTGAAGATGACGCGATCGTGGCGGTCAAACAACAGCAGGCTCGCATGAAGATGTGTCAGGCTCCGAACGCGTGCCGGTGAAGCCTATCGAACGGTTCTTTCATGTTCTTTGCCACAGGCTTCGTCAACAGACTGACACGACGTATCCACTCGCCCCGTCTGTAGGCGGTTCCGTCGCAGTGGGAGCAGTGGGTGGGCTCCGTCGTGGGATGGCTCGGGCCCCGAAAGAACAGCCCAATTCCGTTGCTACCACTGTGGACCTCAGGTTCACGAATGTGCTCCACGTCGGAGGCCCGAAGGACGAAATCGTCCTGAGTCTGGAGGCCGGCGAAAAACTCTGCTTGCTGCTCGCAGTCCGTTCCTGGTCAGTTTCCCTTGGATTTTTGCCATGCCATGTCATCCTTTCCATCCACTGGCCACCAGTCGGAGGATGCTTCACGGCTCCGGACCCCTCTGTTCATTCGTGAGGAATTCACGCAGCTGCGGGACCACCTGCTGCGAATGCAAGGCTACATCAAGGTGCCATGCAGTTCAAGCACAGTCTGAAGCTTGTCGTTTGACTCCCGACAGGGGCGGTACGTAGCGGTTCTGAGTGTTTCATGTAGGGTAAAGCGTACGGTCTTTCGGCAGTTCGCGTTCAGATTCCAGTGAGATTTTTGCTCAATGATCGTTCCTTTGAGGCAGAGCTTGTGACAGATCTGCTGTTGTGAGTAGAGTGGCCTTTGGCAGGAAGCCGAAGATCGGGCAGAGCAGGCGCAAGCCCCACACGCTGCACGCTTTCAGAGAAGTCGCTCTTGACATGCTTCTCACTGTAAGTCTTACATTCGATGCCGGATCAAACTTGTGAGTTCAGCGTTACTTCTGTGGCAAGGATACGATGCTTGCAGTGTAACATTCTTCGTGCTCTTGGAGGACAACGCCGATCCGATATAGTTCTGACCGGTCCTTACTTTACTGCCGTGCTGCAGGCGGAAGCGCTTCTGGTCCTCACCCGAAGGCGCCACAAGCAGGACGCTGCGGGACGATTTTGGTTTGTTGTGGCTTGCTCTACCGCCACTTCTCGGCCTGAACTGCCGGCTGGTGCTGCCCCTTTTCTGCTGCCGCCACCACAGCGAACATCACCACCATTGCCACCACTACCCGGATAGCAGTGCCGTTTAGGGAACGGTCAAGTTGCGATTAGCAGCAGTCGAATTGGCATTTTCAGTAGCGCAGGCCGGAGTGCTACCAATCTTCTGTATGCAGACGGCAGAACGATGTGCTTCAGTGTTGTTCCACGCTCTGCAGCTGTTGGCTGAAGCAATTTTTTGGATTTCTCCCATTGCGTTTCGGCAGTTGGTTAGTGTCTTTTTGGTGAATGGTCTTCCAGGCAAAGAGAGGGGGCACTGGAAGTTCTAAGAGCTACTTCATGTACAAGGAGATGGTAGAGAGCTCTCCTTGATCCGAACCGGCAGTTCGCGCCAGCCCCGCCCTAAGACGAAGTCCCACTCCCGAGAGGGGAGCCCCGCCTAAGCCGGGCTTTTTTCCGCCATGGAGTCGGTCATGGAGATGGATGAGCTCTGTGCCCACCTGGACTTCGTTTCGCAGGACGCTTTAACAGACGGAGGCCTCCCCCCCAAAATTCCCCAAAGTCCCAAAGAGCCAGGAGCTCTTCCGCCGCCACGGCAGCGAGGCGCGCCAGGTGGCGGAAGCGGCCCAGAGCTCGGCCTGTCAGGATGTTGGTGGATGTTGCTGTTTCCTCTCCTGGCATTCTGAAGGGACTGCTGGTGCGGTTTGGGATCTCGGGCTGGAGGGTCTAGCGTTTCAGGATGGATGTTCAGCCCGCGTTTATCGAGCTCCGAGTATGGAGGTCGGCCTGACCATGCTCGAATTGTGGGGAGGGGTTGATTTGCAGTCTGTGGTGTTTAGTTGTAGCACACAGGTCCTGCTTCCGGAGCGGTGCGAAGACCTTAGGTGCAGCTCATCCAGCGTATCGGCGAGGGCCTAGCCTGGGCGTGTCTGGGCTGCCATGTAGCACTGTAATTTCAGTATGTTTCAGCAGTTGCCGCTGGATGGAGTGGCTTGGGCACAAGATCAGAGAGGCTTCTCTTCGAAGCTGCAGAATTGCTGTGCTCCATATCAAAGCCTCGAGGTACGGGCAGCCCCACCGCGAGATTGGCGAGGTGCATCGGGAATCGGCATAGCATTTCATTGTGTCTCTAAGAAGTGTTGTGTGGTTTTGCTGAACTAGCAGCTTCGGATGCCTCGGAAATCCGGCAAGTCCACTCCGAGAGGCGTTCGCCCAGCCCTTCGTTGACCGGCGCATCCGGGACCGGCTGAGAGACCTGCTCTTCACGCAGCATCCTCACTTGCAGGCTCGAGGGGGCTCAGGTAGTCCAGCCCTGAGCAGACCGTGAAGTCCAAAAGCTCTCCGCGCTCCGACTCTGTTCCTTGAGCCTGTGTGGGGGGGCCCGGTTGGGTTTTTGTTGCTGGTAGCGTGGAAGAGGGGCTTTGGGAGCTCAGGCATCGGTGAGTTTCCCTCGGCCGGTTCTTTCTCAGGCGCAGGTACTGCAGACCATCCACATCTTGCTGGCAGCAACGCCTCCGAGCTGCATCGAAGCCTCGGGGTGCCCTAGCCGAGCGGAGCGAGGCCGGTGAGCTCAGTGAAGGGGAAGAATTGAGGCCGGCCGAATCGCTTTTCTTCTGCAACCTCACCGCTGGCTTCTACCTGCCTGGGCCTGAGACCTTCTCAAGCTTTGCCGGGCTCTGTGCTGTGGGGCAGTGAAGAGCTTCTGGAAGGCCTTCGACAGCCCAAGGCCAAGCCGAGGCAGCCAGCTAAGAAGGCCTAAGGCACAGACTCAGCCCGAAAGTCCCGAGCCCTGAGCCTCTCTCATCCTAAAACCAAGACATCCTCCCAAGCAGAGGAATGAAGTGGTGACTGCCAGCTTCGACTTCCGAGCCTCGTTTTCTTGGTGGGGCATCACGCAGGTTTGAGTTTTTGGGGTTGTAGGGTTTGGGTTTAGAATCTGAGAGTCTTGGGTTTTCATGCTTTCTGTTGGGTTTATCTAGTTTTTGGAGTCCGTGCTGCGGCTCGGGCTAGGAGTTCACGCAGTTCTGAGGTTTTGAGCGGTGTTTGGAGCCGTTTTGCAAGGGTTTGGGGGCCGAATTGACCTAGCAATGTCTTGAGCAAAGGTTGAGGGTTCATGCATTTGGGGGGCCTGGGCCTTCTTTGGGCCCCGGGGGCCGGAAACCCCCCCGAAATGTGTGAAAAGTGGTTGCCCATGCTCTTCTTCTTTGTTCTTCTTGTTCCTGCGATCATGCTCGTTCCTTTGCTTGGGCTTTCTTCCCGCTTCCTGCAAGTCGAGCTGAGGGCAGAACGAGGACTTGCTCCCCCTCTGGATAACCGTTGTCAAAGACATCGCCACCATGATGAGCGAGGAGCCGCGTCTGCCCCGAAAGTGAGCCAAAAGGAATGTCTCATGATCGCAAAGCCTCAGACATTGTAGACACAAGCAAGCCGGGGGCTTTGCTCAAGTCTGGAAGCTGTCGAACTTGAACCGGCAAGGCTCTCTCAACCCAGAAGCGTATGTAGGACCGCGGAAAGTTTCTGAAGCCAATGGGACCTGCAGCGCCGAGACGGCACTGGCCGAGCATCCTACAGGGCGACAAGCACCCAAGAATCCGCTCCCTTGAATCTTGGAAGACCTCTTGCGAGATTCTTCAGGAGAACCTCATGCTGTTCTTCAACCCCTACTCCGAGAAGCCCTTCCCCTTCTTCTCGCAGAGTGCGAAGTACTACCACCATCCCTCAGCCCAGGCCCGGATTCCTCGAGGGTTTGTCGGGCCTTTATTGAGAAGACTCGCTTCCTTAGAGTGCTTTAGTTTTGGATCTGGGGCTTTTTCGCTTGAGTCTGGAAGGTCAGCAGAGTCAGCACCCCATGCCCAAGCTTTTGGTCTTTGAGGATGGAGCCTGTGACTAAGCTGGCGGTGGCCCCTGTGAGGTGCGAACGCATGTGCAAGCGACTTCGCTGGAGATCTTTTCGAAGCTGAACCACGTCCTGATTCGGGGGATAACCGAGGCTTTGCGACCTTGGGTTCTGCGGATCAGCACAGCGAATCCCTGATCCGCCTGTCTGCACGCTCCCGAAGACTCGAGCCCATCCCTTGCCTCAACCCAAAGTGCATCCTAAACCCTCAGCAAGTCCTGAAAGGAAGATCGCGGACTCTTGGAGCAATTCTCTCTTCGAGTTGGTGGTGGCAGACTCGAAGATCCTCTTCACACACGTGCCTTCCTTGGGAAGTGTTCGGCGCGCCCTACATGGCCCTAATTACTGTAGGTCGCCTGCGGGCTCCGTCTCTGAGCGAACCAGAACTGGAGACGGCTTTCCTGTGCAGCTGCCCCCAGGTGTGCTGTCTTCTCAGAGACTTCTGGCGTGGCTTGGCCGCAATAGTTTCGGAAACGATTCAGTTACATCCTACCTCCCTAGGAGTAGGCTCGAGAAGCTTCTTTGAGAAAGAGCGCCGTAGCGAAGTCGAGTCGAGTTCGAGGCATGGCTGACGAGACGATCCGCTCGAGCATCTGGCGAGACATGAAGAACGCCTTCAGCTTGCAGCGCCCCGGCGGCCCAGCCATGTGCAACGCTCAAGCTCGGTCTCACACCCAGAGCTTTCGATCGAAAGTCGGATGTGCTAGGAACGACATCCTGGAGTACATCAATGATGTCTTCGCCTCTGCCAAGGCCTCGGTTGACCATGCCCCGCCTTGTCATGATCCCGGCGATCACTGTCGCCAGCACCCTATATCCCAAGCCCATCCAAGCTTCAAAGTCCAAAAACCTGTGACTACCCTTGACAATAGACCCCTCCAAAGCATGCTCAGGCTCAACTTGCTTGCAAGCTACCGTCTCACAGATCCGGCCACCAAGGATGTGAATCAGCTGAGTGCGATTCTTCAGGACAGCATGGGGTGCAGGGATGGATAGTTTGGGCTTTGGAAGGTTTTGGGAGGTTTGGCAATCTCGGGCAGGTACCCCGCCCACAGCTTTCAAGTCTCAATTCCCAAGTCGGTAGTTTTCTGTCCAGCTCTCTTTGGGAGCAGGAGCGGCTCCTCCGATTTGCGGTGCTCCCGGTGCTGCTGGGATCAGCGCTCCAGGCACCCCCCCCAAAAGCGAGTTTTCTGTTGCCGAGCTTCTGTTGTCGAGTTTGAAACCCCCCTAAACCCTAAACCCTAAACCCCAAACCCTAAACCCTAAACCCATTAATTCGGACAGCTCTTGGACCCCCTCGGAAGACTCGGTCAGCTCGCCGCCTGCATGCGTTGAGCATGTCGTGCTGTGTCAGGCGCAACAGCAGCCTCTGCTCACCCAGGTGGGGAGTCCTTTCCGTAGAGCCCTACTCAGATATTATATGTCCTCCTCGCAGTTTCCAGCCGGGTCAGGAGGCGTCGTGGTATCTGCTGGGCGACCTCCTGACAACCCTCAGGCTTGGACGCGACACATCATATCGGTGTCATATCGGGTTAAAACCCTGAAGACCCCGGGCTCTGGACTCGCAACGCTACACCCTCAAGTGCCCCGTGCATGCAAGCCTAGAAGGGAGTTGAAAGCTTAGCATGCCGAGGGACCTCAGCGACAGTCTGAGTAGCAACGAAGAGACGATGAGGAGCCACCACGTCCGAACGGTGCTGGCTACCACACTGCTACGGCCCCATGTGACCGAAGAGATCTTGCAGCCCTCTGGCTTCCTTGAGTCTATCTGGGGATTTCCCGAACAAGTGCACCGTCTTCCTCATGTCTTGGCTCAGTCATTCAGCTGCTCCCCAAGGCCTTGACGTGACTTCAGGTGGTTTTGCTGTCCTGGGATTTTTTTTGTGCGGTGCTTCTGGCTCAGTTCCGTTCAGCTGACGCCTGGATCTTTTGAGGGTGACGGGGCTGAATCACTTTGTATTACCGGAACGCAAGCCTTTCTCGTGGGGCTGAAATTCCAGTCCTGATGCTTGGGCCATCGAGGCTGGTGGTGTCCCCGCCGCCCAACACACCAGCGGCCTACTTCCATTTGCAGAGGCCCCTCGGAAAGAAGTCTTAGCACGCCCGTCAAGCCCTTGTGCACCAGGTTGCTGTGTCAAGTTTGCTTGAGAACGGGTGCTCCTTCGGCATGGGTCTAGTGTAGTTGAATAACCAGGGCGATTATCCCCGGTATTTGACGCGAGATCGGGCTTCTGAAGCCTGTCTATGTCTCCTTGACAGTCCCAAGTCAGCCCTTGATGAAGGTCCTGGGGAGGAACACCACAGCGGAGCTACTTTGCACGATCCTCAGCCCGGGAGGGGTCACGGAGAGGTCCGGTGTTCGTGTCATGCGAGTGCCAGACCCCAGGATAAGCAGGAGTCTACCGCCGACCACCAGACGCTGTACGAGCCGGTGTTTATCCCGGTGGTGGCTTGGACAGGGCAAGTAGAGGTTTTCGAACATCAAGGGAGGTTAGAGGGTTTCGGGGCAAATGCAAAAAGGCTTCCAGGGTTCAAGCACCCCGGCTCCATGCTTTCAGGTCCAGCTCCTCCAAATCCTTCCAAACTCGGCACCCCAAACCCTAAACCCTAAACCCTAAACCCCAAACCTCAAACCGTGAAAGCTTCAAAGAGGTGGCGCCCGGCGAGTCCTCGGGGAAGCCTCTCCACCGGAACAGCCTCCTGGAGGTCCGCGGAGAGACTTTCAGGATTTGGGTTCTTCTCCGTGCCCTCTTACAACTTAAGGAACCCAAACACTAAGGACTCAGTTCTTTTCAGAAGAACGTTTGGGAAAAGTTTGGGTTTAGCCTGGCTTGGAGTGCAGGATTGGGAAGGGGCGCAGCAGAGCTTACGTTAGATGAGGTTTGGACAGTAGACGCGGGCACACGAGGAGATTACACTGGTGAGCAGAATCTCTGCATTGCACGTGTTTTTTTTTGGACTCTACGGGTTTCACCGACGGAGGCCCTGGAGCTCCGCCTCCGCCGCCTGGCATTGGAGAATGGATTTTGCGGCCTTTTTTAGGCCAGGTTGCCCTCTCTTGGCCTTGGCCTTCAAAGAACATGCCAATCCGCTGACGCCAAGAAGGGTATGATGCGTCCCGCCTTGATCCTATGCAACACGTTGAAGCCCAGTGGGAGCAAAGGTGAGCTTTGCCGCTCCGGGCGCGCACAGGAGGCGGTTTGCGCCTTCAGCACCCTGGAGATGTCGCTACAGGCACGGGCCTCGGCCATCGAAACCAGGGTCCTCCTTGCTATCGTATCGCAGTAGGTTTGTCAACGGTTTCATGGTTTCTTCCCAAACGGTAAAGCTCTGGCCCAGGCCCTCCGCTCTGCCGGGGAGCCGTTACTCAGAAGGGAAACATGGGGGGATCGTCTCGGGCTTCAAGTTGGTGTCGCGGCTGCGAGGGTGCATCTCCGGTTCTCACATGCAGAATGCACAAGTCTACGTGGCTTCCCCTGCTCTGCACTGTTTCGCCTAGGCTGGATCTTAGTGTGGCCGAGCGCCTCGGCAACTGCCTCGCCAGCTGCTTGGCGAGGAGCCCTGCGCTGCAGCCCTTGCGACCGCATTCCGCACCTCTGCCCTGCAGGCAAGGCTCGCTGAGCTTCGTCCTCTGCCTGTCTTGCCTCCGGGCCCTCAGCGAACTCTTCGCTGCGGGCGGTAGCAAGGTCAGGCAAGCCCTCAGCCCGATGCTGAGGCCAGGGACTCACGAGTCACGAGTCACGGTTGACCGGCTGTCTTTGAAACTCTGAGCGCTGCGTGAATGCTTTCCTTCTAACCCCCCTTGTGTACAGCGGCAAAATCACCTAGCTGCTGTGAAGATTACCTCATGAGGGCAT